GATGGCCATCATACAGGGTGTTCCAATTATTTTTTGCGAAAAAGTACATTTTACGTTTTTGACTAGCCTGTTTTGATGATTCAACAATTCGAAAATTAGATGAATTAGACCAAATTTGAGTAACATAAAAACACATACATTTTTTTTTTTAGATAAAATACTCAATACTAACTAATTATCAATATCCATAAGTATGTTCTTTTAAAGGGGTTCAATTAAAAAAATCAATTTTGATATGCAGATCTAAATTGGGACACACTGTATAATTGTGAATATTTTAGAAATATGCCTCCAAATACCATAAATAATAATCCATTATTTTCTAAGAATAGTTTTTATATATATATAAGTTTCTTATTAAATTTTAAATTTTAAACTAAGGTTTCTGTAGGATTTTGATGTTTTTACTTTGAAAATTAAAAGTTTTTCGTAATATCATTCATTTATACTAAGTGACATATAAATCCGAACACCCAGTTTAAATGGTTTTATTTTACGTTGCAAATTGAGCAATCTCCTACCCATCATATCCCACACGTGCTCAATTGGGGATAAGTCGGGAGATCTTGGTGGCCATGGTAACAATGTGACATCATTATGTTGAAAGAAGTCTATTGTGACTCTTGCAACATGTGGTCGGGCATTATCTTGTTGGAAAGTTGGATCTGCCAGGGTGTCAAGATAGGGTAAAAGATGGGGTTCTAGAACTTCGTGGATATAACGCTGCGCGTTCATGTTACCTCTGATGAAGATTAAAGGTGACCTGGAACCATAAGCTATAGCACCCCAAACCATAACTCCAACAGTGTGATGAACATGTCTTTCAACAGAAAACTGTGGATTCCTCCTTTCACCACGTCGCCTTCTAACCCTGGCACGACCATCGTGCATGCCTAAACAAAATCTAGACTCGTCACTAAAGACAATACTGTTTCATTCCTGATCCCAGAGTGACCGTTGTCTGCACCACTTAAGGCGATTACGTCGGTGTTCTCAAGTTAAAGGGAGGACCCAGTGTGGCCGGTATGAAAACAAGCCAAAACTTCTCATTCGTCGGTAAACACTTCGCATGCAAATAGGTCTTCCGTGTTCTGCAAACCATTCATTTGCAATGGACCTGGTAGTGGAGAAACGGTCTCTTAAGGCTAATAATCTTAGGCGGCGATCTTCACGGTCTGTTGTTCTACGGCGGCGTCCATTGCCCCTTGCACTTTGCGTACGGCCTTCTCGAAGCCATGCCTGACAACACCTAACCACAGTGTCTACACTTCTTTGCACTCTAACTGCCCGAAAAGAAAGTCCAGCTTCCCGAAGTCCCACTATACGGCCCCTATCAAACTCACTAAGTTGTCGAAATCGTACAGGTCTCCGTACTCTAGGCATCGTAACCGATCGTAAGGGATGTCAAGAACCAAAATCCGCCAACGTTGATTCTTTACTGCGGCTGAAATATTCATTTTTAGAGCGTTAGTGAATTAAAAAAAAGCAGTATAAAAACCGGAATGTCCAACTGATAAGGCTGAACATTTTTTCACTTGTTATTTACAGTAAGATAAATACATTCACCAACTTTTATTAAAATAAAGCCATTTAAACTGGGTGTTCGGATTTATATGTCACTCAGTATATTTTTTCAGCATCTACTAATCTCACTTCGATGGACCTACGTCCCTTAAGGGCGTTTAAAAAAAATTGTACGCTTATATACGACTCTTTAGTTTTTGGTTCAGAGAATAATTTTAACATCCGAACGCAACGGTTACCCGGCGGGTGTGTGAGTCCTCAATCTACAGGGTGTCCAATATAAGTATCTCATGCTTTGGGACCTTACTACCTGTGGTAGTCATAGCTTACGTTAAATTAGGAAAAAGATGCGTTCTTTGTGGCATATTTACGTGCGTTGAGAAAAAAATAAAAAAAAAACTGAAATTTGGCCAAATCATTTTTATTTTGTCTGACTTTATTTTACGAAATATCAAAAAACGAATGGAACTTTTCCGTCGGCAGTTTTCAGGATATAGCTGAAAGTTAAGTTATTGTCTAGGTTTCAAATGCAGTCTTCAGAGCTGAGAAGGAAGTGCGCGTCAGTTATTTTCTTGCCTAAGCTGATGCACAATCAGATTGATGCTAATGAGATTATGGCTCAACTAAAATTTATGTCTATTCGTACTCGTATCGTAAAGCCTTTTATTTTGACACGGCTTGCACAAATTAATTTTTGAAAACACCCGTATATGCAATATGTGAAGCTTTTAAAGCCACATCCAATTATCGTGATTTACATGCTGACAGTTTGAACAGCATCCGGGGAGTAGCTAGAAATTACTAAAACAATTGCTTCTCACTATAGTGAAAGATCTTTTTTTTGCTTCTTTTTCTTGTTTGTTTTTTCCTTCAGATAGAATCACCTGCGTTTTGTATGTTTTCTATGTTTGTTAAAGCTACTACAACTACACACAAGCCGGGTTTATGCGGAGCGGCAATGCCGTCGGCAATACAAGCCGCGCAAAGCCGCCAAGCATCATTCCGGTTGTGGCAGTCACATAGAACGCTAGTGAAGTGCAACACACAAACCGCACAACACTACCTCTCGAATGCCAGGAACGAAGTGACGCCGGCAAGCCGCGTAACCCGCCGGCGGCTTGCCCGGCGGCACTGTGTGTAGCAGCCTTTAGTTTGATTTATCTTTTCTTAGGATTGTCCTATAAATTGTTTCCTCAACTGTTGGGCAATAAACGCTATTTATTATTTGTTATTACTACAGTGGACCCCCGATAATCCGGCGCCCCCTGTAATCCGACATGTCTTTGAATATGTATTACATACATACGTATTTGACAATCTTCGCTAATGTAGATCACGCAGGTTTGAACAGGTTACAACTTGTATGCGCCACCGCTATCGTGCTCGACGCGTAAGCATTGTTTTACTTAGATTGTATTTGACTACTTGTGATAGCGGTACGGCCTAGCGTGCTTTAATTGTTTACTATTTATTCATTGTGTATTAAGTATAGTACCTAGTAATGTCATCACAAACACAGAAGCGAAAGCACAAAACATTGACAATTAAAGAGAAATGTGATATTTTAGACCGCATAGATCGCAATGAAACTTTCAGTAGTTTAGCAAGTGAATACGGCAAGATCAAGAAGGTCGTGTCAACTACTGACTGCGGCCAGGCAAGAGACAGACACTCCATAAGGGGAAGAAGCTTTGTACATGTGGTTTCTTCAGGAAAGAAATAGGCATGCACCAATTTCAGGACCCATGTTGGCCATGGAAGCTAAGTTTTTTGTAAGGAAATAACAAAAAACATTTTGTGGCCAGCAAAGGATGGTTAGAACGTTTTAAAAGTCGTCATGGTATACGTTTAATGACTATTACAGGAGAGAAACTTTCTAACGATGTCACCTGCATAGAGCCCTTTAAATTAAGATGTTTGCTAAAGGTGAACGATTTAAATCTTGACCCGTCACAGGTGTACAATGCAGACGAATCAGGGCTTTTTTGGCGTGTCATGCCTAACAAAACTTTCGTTTCTTGTAACGATAAATCCGTACCTGGACGAAAAGTCAGTAGAGCGTGTAACCATACTACCATGTGCTGATGCTGCGGGCACACACGCGCTTAAGATGATGGTCATTGGGAAATCTAATAAACCACGGGCATTCAAAAACATTGATTTACCTGTACACTATTACGGACAAAAAAGTGCATGGATGACAAAATACCTTTTCAAAAAGTGGTTTGATGAATGCTTCGTACCTGAAGTTAGAAAATGGTTAAAAAATCATAATTTTCCTCAAAAAGCGTTGTTGCTTCTTGATAACGCTGCCGGTCATCCGTCTGAAGAAGAACTAACAACTGAGGATAGATGCAACACTGCGATGTTTCTTCCGCCAAATTGCACTGGACTGATTCAACCAATGGACCAGAATATTATTCAGTTTGTCAAGCAAGACTATAAGAAAAACCTACTTCTGAGAGCCGTATCAAAAGACCAACCAATAGAAAAAACTTTAAAAGAATTTAATATGAAAGACTTGGTTTTTGCTCTTTGTCAGTCGTGGAATGCGTTACCGTCATCAACTATTAAATCGTCTTGGAAAAATTTATAGCCAGATATAGTCACCACTCCTAGCAACGTTTCACAAATCAGTGTTACTTCGGAAGTTATAGAACAAGTCGCTACTGAAACACAGATAAGTCCGGAAGATTTGGAAATCTGGTGCCGTGGAATGGATAAAGAGGAAAATGTTTTTCATGAAATGTCTGACGAAGAGATTATAAAAGAGGTTTCTAATTATACAACAAACAATCAGGAAAATAACGACGACGTGATTGCAACTGCTCCACAAGTCACAGCACAAGACGCAATTAACGCCTTTGAGCTAGGTTTACAATGTGCTGAAGAGAATGGTACATCCTACAACGAACTTTTACTTTTGAGAAGACTGAGGGACACAGCTCTGATCTCGCGTTATAACAACCTTAAACAAACAAAAAATTGATGAATATTTCCAAGCTCCATAATTTGATAAATACTTTAATGATTTTGATTCATAATTCCTGATTATTTTGGTACATATGTATGTGCATTTATGCTTAATTTTATAATAAAACGTAAGCTCTCCATTGTTATTTAATTTACTAAATTCGACATACATAAACTATTTATAATTTGTACTTCAAAGTACATACATATACATAACATATATAATCTTACCATTGGATATGTAATTTGTCGGATTACAAGGTACTCTTTTGTAAAAAATTCCGGACTATAGGGGGTCTTAGGCAGTGCTCTATAATCCGACAAATTCGATAGTGCCCTACATAATGTTTGTCGGATTACCGGAGGTCCACTGCATTTATCGCGGCCTCAAAACTTGCGTGAGATTGTGAAAACATTTTTCTTCTCGTACGTGGGGGCCCCTGATGCCCCTCAGATGGAATTTTACATAGAAACTTAAACGCCTCAACAAATATAAAACTCACTTTCATACGCCCACAGAGTGTAGTTCCTCAAGCTATCCACATAAAGGTCACTATGCTCCTTGCACACCGTATTCGAACTCCTGGCGACTGCGACGGGAAGCGGCGGGAACAAGCTGGTTCTGATCACGTCCTCCTGCCCTAAAGCCCATCCCGCACTGCACAGCACCGATATTGAGAGGAAAATCGCGTTAGCCATGGTATTCGCATGAATGTGACCGACGTCGGTTATCGCGGTTGAGCCGTTTAGGTATATAATACAATGCAGAAAAATTCACACGGAAAAAGCTTTTATAAGATCGTGAACGTCTGCGGCCTTGGCAATGTGCTTGCCGGCTGGCCAGCGCGGTCAATCGCGTCACGGCCAGGGTTGATTATTCGGCGGTCGGTGCGATTGTTTATCGTAATTAGGAAATTACATAATATCTCGAGCGTTGAGATTTTGGTAGATACTCCAGTTTGCGAGGTATTAGAGGGCCATTCAAGCATTACGTATACTTTATCTGAAGTCACTTGAAACACTGTGAAATACCGGGTGCGTTTTATATATCTATATTTAACACGCTCTGTTGCTGCAAAAATCGCCAAATTTCGCAGCAAATATCCCCCGTATAAGATCAAAGGCAGTTTCACCGGTCCACGTGGAGTAAAGCACGCCTATGCGTGGACATAGCCAATGAGAAAGCATGTATTTCAGAGCTCCGAACAAGTGCAGGTGCCTACTGAAAATTGAAACAGTTTAGCCAGTGCCGTGTAGCGGTGAATAAACGTGTTTTCTTTAGTCTGTCCGTGTTTTTTCATAGATTTTATTAGTTTGTGTGTTTTGACTTTTGAATACTCAGTTTACTTCTTGATTTAATTGTTGTGTCGATTGTTCTTGTGTGTCCTAAATATGGCTCTTTGGAGACCTTGGGAAAATGCTCCAAGCCACGAGGAGATGGTTGATGAACCTGTGCAGGCAGAATTCTTTCATAAAGATTTAGAGGAACAGACCCAAAGAGTAATCCTAAATATGTATGATTGTCTGAAAAACGAAAATCCAGATTCCTCGCAAAATCAAATTTTAAACAGAATTTGTATCCTGACAAAAATCTGTCGGTCTACCATTTATCGGGTTATAAAAAGGGGAGATGTAGTCAACCATTCCTTCCACAGAAAGCGCATAGGGCAAAAATTAAAAAGAATAGTCGTGGGTTTTCAGGAAGATATTCGTCGTATAATATACGGATTTTATAAAGAAAATTTGGTGCCCACGTTGGAAATGATACGGGATAAATTAAAAGATTATCCTGAAGATTTTTATAATTACAAATGCTTAGACTCACTGCACTGTATTGTAAAACTGTGTGGTTTTCAATACAAAAAATTAGATAAAAGAATGGTGATTATGGAGTCGTCTCGAATCGTTGAATTGCGCCAAGAATTTTTGCACAAAGTTAAAATCTATAGAGAGCAGAAAAGAAATCTGATTTACCTGGATGAAACGTGGTATGATACCCATGATGTTGTGCAGTACGGCTGGGTTGACGACAGCAACAAGTGCATTTTGAATGCACCATGCAACCGTGGAAAACGAATCATTATTCTCCATGCTGGCAGTGAAAATGGATTTATACCTAATGCCTTGCTGTTATCTGCCAAAAATATCAAAGAATCATGTGCCGACTATCATGAGGACATGACATCCGACTTATTTGAAAAGTGGATAGAGCAGCAGTTAATACCAAACATTTCCCCAAATTCAGTGATTATTATGGACAATGCGCCATACCATTCCCGACAGAAAAACAAAATTCCGAATACAGGCACAAAAAAACAAGGAATTATTGATTTTATGAAGAATAAGGGAATGGAAATACCACAAAAATCAACCAAAGCCATATTATTGTATCTTATTAAAAGACAAAAATTTGAAAAAAAGTATGTTGTTGACAATCTGCTTCAGCAAAATGGCCATGAAGTATTACGTCTACCTCCCTATTATTGCATTTTTAACCCGATTGAGTTGGTCTGGGCTGCTTTAAAAAAAAAGTAAGAAAACATAATCAGACCCCTCAGTTAAGTGAATCGCTATTGGCCTCAATAAGAGATGCAGTGTCTCATATTGCTGCCCCAGACCTATGGAAGCAGTGTTCTAGGCATATTATTGAAAAAGAAAATGAATATTGTGTTTTGCCTCCTGTAAATCCCGTTGTAATTCCTCTACAAGATGACTCTAGCGACAGCTCCGAAGGCGAGGGTGATATATAAATACCTATAATGTAAGTCTTTATATATCTTTTTATATACCTACCTGCTATGTAAATATTTGCCTATGTCAAACGTTGGAATTCTGTAATTTTTCCATTTCTTAACTTTCAGTCAACATAAATTAAACTCCCAATATAAGTATTTTTTATCCCAAATCAAAAAAATAAGAAGATAGTAAAATCCATTTATTGTGATATAAAAACATTATTATTATCGTTCTAAATAAATGACCGCACGCCTATGATACGTCATGAAATTACAAAGGACGCGCCGACCAAAGGTTTTTATGTTATTTCAAGTGACTTCAGATAAAGTATAAGTACTAAAGGGAGTCCTCGCTTTGTTTATTTTTGATAACATCGGGAATGCGGGTCTGGTCGGCGATATTTATTTTTTTATTTTCTCGGATTTTCTACGAGATTTAGTCGATCTTGATTTGCACACATATGAAAGAGAAACGCATTTCCAGGTATCCTCTAAATATGGATATGCTTACTCGGTTGGAACCTTGCTGGTGGCTGAAGTGCGTGTAACCGAGCAAATCGCAAAATGGCTCCTCTTCGCCGGGGTTGGACTGATTTAAGGCATTTTCAGACGAAGAACCACGAAGCAGAAGGCCTTTTCTTCAAGAAACGATGAAAATCTTGACAGAATCCGGAACCTTGTACGTTCATATTTTCGGTTGACAGTCAGAATGATCGGGGACGAGTTAAATTTGACATCACCTTTCAACTTTCAACGTTCAACGTTCAACGTTCAACGTTCAACGTTCAACTTTCAACTTTCAACGTTCAACGTTCATGGTTCATGGTTCATGGTTCATGGTTCATGGTTCATGGTTCATGGTTCATGGTTCATGGTTCATGGTTCATGGTTCATGGTTCATGGTTCATGGTTCATGGTTCATGGTTCATGGTTCATGGTTCATGGTTCATGGTTCATGGTTCATGGTTCATGGTTCATGGTTCATGGTTCATGGTTCATGGTTCATGGTTCATGGTTCATGGTTCATGGTTCATTGTTCATTGTTCATTGTTCAATGTTCAATGTTCAATGTTCAATGTTCAATGTTCAATGTTCAATGTTCAATGTTCAATGTTCAATGTTCAATGTTCAATGTTCAATGTTCAATGTTCAATGTTCAATGTTCAATGTTCAATGTTCAATGTTCAATGTTCAATGTTCAATGTTCAATGTTCAATGTTCAATGTTCAATGTTCAATGTTCAATGTTCAATGTTCAATGTTCAATGTTCAATGTTCAATGTTCAATGTTCAATGTTCAATGTTCAATGTCAATGTCCAATGTCCAATGTTCAATGTTCAATGTTCAATGTTCAATGTTCAATGTTCAATGTTCAATGTTCAATGTTCAATGTTCAATGTTCAATGTTCAATGTTCAATGTTCAATGTTCAATGTTCAATGTTCAATGTTCAATGTTCAATGTTCAATGTTCAATGTTCAATGTTCAATGTTCAATGTTCAATGTTCAATGTTCAATGTTCAATGTTCAATGTTCAATGTTCAATGTTCAATGTTCAATGTTCAATGTTCACCTTTCAACTGTCAACTTTCAACTGTCAACTTTCAACGTTCAACGTTCAACGTTCAACGTTCAACGTTCAACGTTCAACGTTCAACGTTCAACGTTCAACGTTCAACTTTCAACTTTCAACTTTCAACTTCCAACTTTCAACTTTCAACTTTCAACTTTCAACTTTCAACTCTCAACTCGCAACTCGCAACTCGCAACTTTCAACTTTCAACTTTCAACGTTCAACTTTCAACAACGAAAGAAATGGATGATATTAGAGCATCCACCCTATAGTCCCGACATATCGCCTTGCGATTTTCACATCTTTGAGCCGCTGAAAAAGGTGTCAAAGTGTAAGCATTTTCAGTCGGATGAAGAAGTACAAAATACCGTAAAAGAGTTCTTCAAGCAGCAGCCACAATACGAGCCCCTTCCCACTTCAGTTGGCCCACTTCAAGATTCGTACCAAAATATGCCTTTATAAACTAAACATGACGAAACTATTTACTCCTAAAACAATTTATTTTCTCAAAAACATTTTAGATACACTCTAGTCGTAAAAATCCATCTAAGTTGTTCAGAAAAAGTTCGAACTACAGATTTTGCTGGCAATAAGGATGTCACATATTAACAGGGGCTTACAATTATATGCACAATGGTAGCTGCTGCGCACTGTTACGTCTGTTTTTTTACTATAACCTGAATCCAGTAAAGACTGTGAGATCAGACATATTTCATTCAATACAAAACAGAATTATTCTAATTGGAATCCGCGTCTTGCTTTTCGTTCAGCAAAAACTTCCATCGCAGAATCCAAATTGAGTGTATTAGCTACTGATCTTTCGATATATATGATAGAGAAGTTGTTGAGTGTGTCTTTAGCCAAAAAAGTTCGACGGTATTCTTTAATAATTTTCAAAGAGCTCATGACACGTTCAGCACTAGCTGAACCGATAGGCAAAGTCATAAATAATCTGAATAAACTGCAGTTCTCTGGAAAACTGTCTACAAAATAGTTTGCAATCATGAACTCCAAATAATCTAGCGGGCTGTCATTAGTAAAATTACGATTTTCCGAAAAATGCATGCTCGTAAAACTGGCTAATTCATATTATAGATTTGTAGTGAAAAATTCCGAATATTTTTCCATCAAATTAGTGACGTTGGTTTCTAATTCGTTTTCTTTTAGATTGACTAATTTCTCTGGAATCAAAAACGAAACACATCATTCACTTCACGAAATCCTTCAGTACATTCTTGCAATTCGTTACTCATTGAATCCAAAACTTCGTAGTAATTTATTCGATGTTTTTCGTGTGTTTCCAGTATCGAGTCAGCAGTTTTTTCGTGGAACATTTTCCTCTTTGTGGCAATGGGAAAACCAGGATTTTCCAATTCCATCTCTTCCCATTTATTCTTAGCCTTCAGAACAAAATTATCGTATGTGCTTTCGCTCCTCAAATCTTTTAATTTTTTTAACGCTGCTGAAATGCACCTTTGAGCCATCATCAAGTCTATTTCTTTCTTTTGCATTTGAACTTGCA